GTAATAATTCCAAGTGCATTATATAGTACCAAACAGTGAAGTCCAAAATTGTTTCTGGTGCTCTAGCACAATTTTTTTTTTTTAAATTTGGAAATATTTGTAACCAAATTGTGAAATTGCTTGGATTTTAATGTCATTATGTTAGATATTCTCTGTTGCTTCTATGGATCTGTCTCACTGTGTTACTGATTGCATCAGCAAAGTCCCTTCCTCTCTGACTTTTAATCAGGCTCACCCAGCAGCAGAAGATGAGAAAGCAATGGGAGAGAAGAATCGGTATTTGTCACCTCCCTTTCTCCATGCTGGTCACAGGGTGGCTGTGGGCCTGCCCATACTCTGATCATGCTCTCCATTTGAACATACTATTTCTTGCTTGGACCATGACTGTTAAAAATTTTCACAGAGTTTAGAATACTTTTTATGTGAAAACATTTATCGTTTAAAGTTGAGATTATACTTCTAGGAAAGTTAATATGGGTACATCTGAAATAGCTGGAAAATAAATTATATATGCCTATCTTTTTCTTTTTTTTTTTTTTTTTTGTCTTTTTCCTTTTTATCGGTACCGGGGATTGAACTCATGACTGCCTGCTTGCAAGGCAGGCGCTTATGCCGCTGAGCTAAACCTTCAGCCCCATGCCTATCTTTTTCTTACTCAAATATGCAGGAAACAAAATGTTGAGTTTACAGTTTTATGTTTCTAATTAAAAACAATGCCTATTTTAATTTTTTTCAAATGAAGATCGTATGAAAAATGCTTCTTACAATGCACTAGGTAAGGAAAATCACTGTTAAGAATTTTAGTTATTTTTTCTCTAATATCTAGAGAAGGGAAGAATATTATCCTAAGAACATATTTTCTAGTAGTCTGTGTTCACATGTACATATTGTAGATGCAGCTCTTTCCAAATCAATTAGATTGATTTGACTCTAACTGAGCTTCAGTCTTGCCACACAGGTGAGAAATTCAGTCTCAGTTTATCATTGAGAAAAGCAGATTAAAAATCATCATTAAAATTTATAACAATATAAATAAATGTCCACAAATTTTTAAAATCATTATATATGCTCTTAATCTGCTTTTTTAAGTAAACATTGTTCAAAAAACTTTAGGTAAATTAAATTTCACAGTTAATTTGAACAAAACTAATTTATGAATTGGCCACCAGTCTGGACCAAAAATGACTGAGAATGCTTTACCCTACCACAGGGACCTCCGTATTTGTAGCTAGAAAAAAGGAAGTGGCGTACAGAGACAACACGTTGACTGTAGTTGGCTTTTGCCTTATATGGTCATACTTTGGCAGCTATCAACTTTTAATTGGTTGAAAGTTTAGCTGTTATGATTGGCTGAAACTTGCCTACTTGTTCTAAGAGTATACTCTCAGTGTGTGAACTGTTGATACATCAAATTAAGTTACACTTCATTCTGTAGAGAAACCTTTAGGCCAAACTTAAAGTGGGTATGAAGGTGGTGTTAAGCTAAACTTCATTCCATTTAACAACATTATACTAAACCATTTCTTCATGTCATATACTTTTGAATGTCTAATGGTAAGGTTTTCTGTCATGTTTCATGGTCTATACAGGCTATGTTTGCTAATTTACTCTAAACTAGCTCTGTCTGTATCCACTTCCTCTTTTTCCTGTATATTCAGAAGCTATATTCCCTTTTGGTAAGAGCTAACACTTGGAACAAAGCAAATTGGAATTAATAGACATAATTGGGAAGATTAATGATTTAGGTTTGTGTCTGTAGCACCTAATTTCCCTCCGTCACTGGATATGACCAAGATAAGCCTGTATAAAAGCCATTGGCATATTAAATTGCTTGGACATTTTTTCCCAGAAATTAAGCAATTATTACAGACTGTCATCTAGACAGTTGAGTAATATTAAATGTTACATGTCCATGGGAAGATTTCATCTTGACTCATATTAGAATTATTTTAATTCTAGAAAATCATGAAATAACTAACAATGGTGTCTAAGTTGGAGAACTAGAGTGTTTCTGGCCTATTCTTCCTTAAAGAAAATACATTTTTAGATATGTTTTGCGGTTGCCATTTAGGAGTCAGGATATATCCTGAGCCAAATCCCTACACCATGCTCCGAGGAGCCGAAAGCCATTAAAAGCCCAAGGGAACAGATGTCCCTTCTGTTAATGAACAAGTGGAGCTCTTCTGTCAGGGTCACTTTGGAGCGTCTCCCTTCACCTGTGACTCACAGAGTCACTCAGACCGTGTAGAGGCTGTGGTCAGGCTGCAAATACAGCTCAATAGCACAGGGCCTGTCTGGTAAATGTGAGGTCCTGAGTTCAATTCCTGGTACCTAAACAAGTAAATAAAGGCTGTCATCAAAAAGGGCAGAAGTCAGACTTCTATCAGTCATCCAACACACATTTGTTGTTCACTTTATTCTAGGTTTGACATTGATATAAAGAGCTGAAAATCCCTAAATAAAATGGACAAAAATCCTGAGAGAGGATGAAATTACAGAGGAAATGGATTTAGGATTACAGGTAGCAGTCTTAGGCCATTCATGATAAAGACTTTGAGTGAGATAGAAAGTTACCACAGGGAGGGGCATTAACATAGTATTATAGATTAAAAACTGGTAGTCAGTTTAATGCTAGTGGAATTAAATCACCATGGTGCTGAGTTAGATGTTCCAGCTGAGGAAAGTTGCCAGCATAAATAGAGATGTGGAAAAGGAGAAGGGAGGCGTTAAGGCGTGGAGGCGTTGTGGGTTTCACTATGTGTTGCTGTTTGAGCCCTCAGTTGTCCTGGAGGAGCTCTGGTCCTTGCATTGGACATCGATTCCTGGCTCCGGAGGGAAAGGCATGTGCTGTTTAATCTCCAGGACAAACTCGTCACGCTGGCTTCCTGGCATGTACTCGGCTGTGCTTATTGTTGGAGGAGCTCGGGGCTTCCATGTCACTGAGGATGGCTGTGGTGCTTTTCAGGACATTCCTGGTCTTTGTTGTGAACGTGACTTCTCGGCTCCAGCATAGAACCCTCATCCCACCTGCACAGCTCCTTCACCCTGCTGGCGTAGACTTTCTAGCTTTGACTGATGACCTTTAGGCTTTCCCTGCACAGATCTGTAAAATGGACTGCTGTGAGTCCTTTTTGTGGGCTCTAGACCTCTAGTTGGACTCATGGTAGGCATTGTCACGAGCTCTGGATCTTCATCTGGGTCATACAGGACATTGTTGTGGGATTCAGGTCCTTGGTTAAATATTTTATGTCTTTGATGTTGTGGATAGATTTTTTGCAGTTTCTTGTATTAACTCTGGGTGACCATCATAAAATAATATTATAAATTCCATGTTGTGATTTTAATTGTTCTCCTTACAACCTGTGAGTACAACATATAGAAAATTCATGCTTGACTTTTTTTTTTTAACTGCATCTCACTATGTACTTCAGGCTAGCTTTGAACACACTGTGCAGCACAGGCTGGCCTCAGATTTGTGGTAATCCTCCTGCCTTGACCTCCTGAATGCTGAGATCACAGGCACCTGTCACATCTGGCCATACCTGGCATTTTGAAAAGATAATTCTGATCCTCATATTGAGAACAGACGATAAGAGGCCAACTTTGGTAACAAGATCATGGCCTTAACAGTGTTCCAAGTGAGAGTTGACAATGTCTTGGATCAGAGTTGTGAGTGAGTTGGTTGCAGTCGTTGAATTCCTGCAATATTTTGAAAGTCAGATCCTACAGTACTTTGCTAATAGACTGGATGTGGTGTGTTAGAGCCGTGAGGCTGGAGTGAGGGTAGATTAAGACTTCCAAGAACCGAGTGCTAGAATGCTCAGTTTTAAGGTAAAACTGTGTTTGTATTTGAATTTAACTACTAATAAGGTCTGAGACCTTTGAGACATTTTTTGGTACTGGGAATCAAACTCAGGACCTTGCCCTTCCCAGGCAGGTACTTATGCCACTAAGCTATGTCCTGGCCAACCCTTCTTTTGTGTGTGAAGGGAAGCCTATAAAATGGAATGTGATTGGCTGGTGTCTTCTATGACTATTATGTTGATTAAGACAAGTTCTCATTTCAAGTGCTCAATATGCTGCCTGGCACATTGTTAAATACTCCATAAACATTCGCTATTACTATAGCTACTTTTAGAACCAACATTTCTCTTCCAAAATGTTATTGTTGCCTTCATGATAATACATACCCATATAATCACAATAGTAGTAAGGCTTATTTATCTAGATAAAAGTGGTGAGCTACATTCCCAATTCCTCTCTTAGGTAAGTTATACTTTTCGCCAAAACTACCTTTTAAAAAAATCTTGGCAGCTTTTCAAGTTCTCCTAAATCTTTAATTTGAATTAATGTCTTTTGAAACATTTTCATTATTTTTATTTAGCTACCAACATCTGTGTGACACAGTAGTAGAAAATGTTCTTTAATGGTTTCACATTTAGGATGACTGATTGCTGCAAAATTGAAAACATGATTGGTAGAGTTTGAAATGAAACTACTTTTCTTAAATAAGTTTCAATAATAGTTTGGTCTGGAAATTATTCCATTCTTTTTAAAAAAAGCACCTCATTTTCAAAATCAACATTTTGCTATCCTAGCACAATAAGATATATTGTTCTCATTTTTATGTAACTCTATTCTGAGATTGTTTGGGAGACTGTTTTATGTATTAAAAACATGTATTTATTTTTCTAATGGACCATAATGGGAATTTTCTTTTAGTGTTAAGGATGGCTTCAGAATTTATTTTCCTTTGGCTGTTATTCACGTGGCAAAGGTAACAAAATAATTGACATTTTATGATGGGAAGGGTATTCTCATGAATAAGCCAAACATTTATTTCTTCTTCCCCTCAAATGGGAGAAAAATTCAGTCACTAGTCTATCAGTAGGGTAATTATTCCTGAGATATTCACAATGAAAGTAATGTGCCTTTTTAAAAAAATTAACGTTTTTTTAGAATTTTAAAGTTAAAGATGCAATTCCCTTCTCCCCTGCTAGGTGGCAGTTAATGTCTTCAAGAGAACCAACTCCCCAAAGTCTTCTACATCCAGACAGATACTTGCATTTTCTCTTCTTTAAGGTAAGAATTCTTTTAAGTATAGTATGAGGTTTTTTTTCTGTTTGTTTTGCTCAATTGAATTTATATTCATCTTTTCCTTTAGTTGTTAAGTATTATACATGCAACTCAAGCATGGACTGCTATAGCTAAAGAAGAATAGATCATATCTTTAAGCGGATGGCTTCCAAATAGAGCATATATTCATGAGTGGTAGAGAGTGGGAAGTTGGTATAACTTCCCTGCAAGTTTTTTTTCCATGTTTACTAAGGAAATATTCCCTGCGAAAGGAATTACAATTGACCCATGCTAACACATACCTAATTAATTATCAATGTAACAATTAAATATAAAACAAGAATGAAGGAGGAAAATAATTTTAAAGCTCTGAAAGCTATTTCAGCATGTAAAATTGAAAGCTATTTTCAGCATGTAAAATTTTATTTTCAAGTTACCTACAGGAGCAACAGTAAAATAATTCTTCATATAAGTAACAGAGAGACACAGTGTAAGAAGCCAAAACTTTGTTTTCTAGAAAAATCTGTTCAGATTCCTAGCAAAATTTGATGATAACAACAGTTTCTTCTTTTTTTGCAATACCAAGGATCGAACTCATGACCTTGCTAAATCCCTGGCAATGACAATAGTTTCTATGACACACACACATACACAAACCAACTGGGGGCCAGGGATTTAGCTCAGTGCCATAAGCACCTGCCTGGCATGTGTGAGGTCATGAGTTCGATCCCCAATACAAAAAAAAAAAAAAAGAAAAAAAAACCAAACAAGTTTCTATGTAAGTCTAGAAAATCTGGTTTACATTTGCCTTTTAGTATGTTTATTGGGTATTTGTCATTATCTGTGACCTTCTTTACCAAAAAGAATGTATGTAGTAGAAGTTTGTTCTGTATAAAATGCAAAATATCAAATCCCTGTTCAAAGAAGAAGCCAAAGACTCTTTTCAGGCTGGACTCAGTGAATCCTAACACCAAAAAGAAAAGCTGTTTCTGGCATCCTAGACGCTTGCTGCATCCAGATGGTTGGTCTGTAGCCTGGCCAGGACCAAACCCTTCCTGCTGGCTGTTCAGCTGGCCTTGGAAGACAGCCCCAGGCGATACCAACTTCCATACCCCTTTCGCTCTTGAGTGTTTGGAATTGTAAAAAAGAGGTGGGACTTCTAATGTAAATTAGGTTGGTTGAGTAAGTCATGCTTTAATCTTGAAGTTGAGTTAATAAATATTTATCCACATCACCACCCCCACCTCCATAAGTTTCTGCTCACAGTAACTCAGTCAGCCAACTGGCATTTGAGAAGCACCTTTTGGAAGGGAGTGTGTGTGGGCAGCTTGCAGGTGAGGACCGGAGTGCCAAGGCAGCCCATGCGGTTTGTCCTGTGCCTACACCCAATACCTGACTTGGGCCTTTCCAGAATATTTGTATACACAGAGCAGTTCTGCTGTTTTGGATGTGGGTAATTTCAAAAAAGTGTTTTTTAAAAAATCACTCGTTGACAGGACTTCTTCAGCAAGCGAGAATGCATAATGGCAGATACAAAATGATCACATATAGATTTAAGTGGGAACTTCTCGGGAGCAGTTGTGCTAGGAAAACAACTCTGTACTGTTTTAAAAGTACACTTGGAAATCTTGTTAGTGGCAGCCATTGTTTTCATTTTGGATTTTCAAAGGTTTGTTTGTACGTGGGAACTTCACCAGAAAGTACTCCATAAAAGCCAACTCCACACTTGAAGGCAAAGTTTTCCTATGACTTTGCTTTTCTCCCCTGGAGAGATGTTAGTAACTGATTTGCAAAGGTGCTTTTCAGTTGGCCAAAATAGACATTTTCAAATGAAAAATGTATGACTCCACATCACTTTCCCTGTTATATTTCTTCACTCACTGTTATTCTTAATTATTATTATTTTGGCCATTGCCAAGCCATTCCACTTCCCATAGGGCTGATTCCAGAACTGAGAAATCCAGGCCAAGGTACAGTCGTGGTTTACAGCGCACTCTGAGAACAATGGGGGAGAGACCTACCAAAGGGCTAGCTTTTGGAGGGTTCTCAAAGGGAGGGAGAGAGGGAGAGAGAAGAAGGAAGGGAAGAGGGAGGAAGAGAGACAGACCAGAGGAAAGTAGAACTGTAGAGAACAGCATATAAACAGGACCTAATGAAGCCAAAATTAAATGGTATAATTTAAGATAAATTGAGATAAAAATAAGGAAGTATATAAAAGAGAATAAAAGTACATCTGATGCATCTACTGATTCACAAAATTTTGCCTGGAGAGATGGGTGGTTCCTTTGAGCAGCTGAACCTCTCTTAACAACCAACATTTAAGGGCACTCTGGCACAGGCCTGCCTTTGTGGCTTCAGAACTGCAACACTTCCCCTGACCTCTCCACACGCCCAGCTCTGATCAGCTCTCCCTCCTCGTGTCAGCCTCCTTGCCCACAGATGCCCAGAGCTGCCTTCTGTGCCATGACCCCGTCTCCTTGCAACTGAGATGATGCAAACTGGGACCGAGCATCCAGCTATGTTGTCTCAGGCCACGCTGGGTAACTTTCCTTTCAGCTGGACTCAGGCCTTTCCTCTGAAAAACACAACAAACCAGACAGGCATTTAGCAAAGATTATGTCATCAGGGGAGATATGATATCATTTATGGTTCAATGCACATTTCCAGAAAATAAGCTGAGATCATGCAAATACAGAAAAAGCAAAAAAGTTCATTGTTTTTTTTTTTTAACATAACTGCCTATTTTCAGTTTTAAACATACTTTCTAACTATTAACTGATGTCTCATGGATTATAATCGGGTTGTCATAAAACAGTAAAATACTACTCCCACCAGAAAGAAAATGTGAGAAAAAAGTTCTTGAAACCAAAAAAAAAAGGAACTAAAGTGTAGTTAGATGTGAATTTTTTCCTCAGAAAATTTGAAGAAAACAGTTGAAGAGGAAGATTGTTTTTACAATGTCAATTACTTTATTTTATTTATGTATTTATTTATTTAGTATCAGGGATCAAACTCACTTTTGCCAAGCAGGCATTTATGCTGCTGAGCAAAACCCCCAGCCCCAAGAATAAGTCATTTACTGTTCTTTTTCTAAAGTATTATTTTTGTGAAAATTACTCATTTTTTTCATTTATGGGTGTGTAAAAACTTAGGAGTTCCATTCTCTCATTCTAGTGTTGCCAGCATGAGAAATGTCAGCAGTCAATATATCTAACAAGTTTTCTCCCTCAATTAAAATACTGTTTTTCTCTGCTTTCCCATTGCCATGAGAATATACATGTAAAAAAAGAGTAGCCTGGCATAAAATCCTTCAATCGGATTCCGCAACTTTAATGTTATGCTAAATGAGAAGTCTTTATTTAGTTTTGGTGTTTCCAAATAGACCTACAAGTTTCGATCCTACTAGTTTGGGCCTCTCTGTCCTCTAGCCCTTGAGCTCCTGCCAAAATCTGCTTGAGTCTGTTCATCTAAGAAGATGAAGCCTCACCGTATTTCTACGTAGCATTTTTGTCGTGATGCAGGCGTACACAGAGCTGTGGGGAGCACCATTCTGTCCCAAGATGGATATGGAGATTGGCTGCCATCCTGTTCAGCCGGCTCCAGAGCAGGTCAGCTCCGTGTCCCTCTCTGTCAGCCCCTCCCAAGGTGACTTTTAACTAACTAGCAGGGCTCCTGAGCTCGGACCCAAGTAGCTTGTAGAATTCCATGCTAGAATCTAACCAATCTGTATTTAAAATCTTTCCATTACTACCCTCTTGAAAATATTACAGAGTACAAGTATCTTTACATTTATAAAAGTAAAAATTTGATAGTGTTTTTCTGATTTTTGTCCCTCTGATGACTTCACTGATGGATGGTGACTCAGTTGCATACTTGACATCTTACCTCCGGCTCACTTTGTAGGAACAATCTCCTCCCTCGTCTGGGGGTGTCTGTCATCATTCATTTAGCTGACTGTACCCTCCAAAAGACTCTTCCCACAAAACAAACAAAGCTTCCAGTTTGCTGGCAACTTGTTGAAGGCAATTGACTGCTTTTTAAGAGAAAACGTTTCCTTCCCCTATTGTGTCACCTCTACCCCTAACACACTTCTCAAAGCCTGGCTGAGTCCTTTGGATTGCCAGACGACGGCTTCCTTTGGGTGTGGGGGAAGCAGCTGGTGTCGCAGACTTGACTTCTTTAAGGAAAAGAATCATTGCTGTCTAGTCACAATGTCCACACGGCAAATGTCGTCACCTGTTGTAAGGGGCTTCCCAACGTGGTCCTTCCGTATATTTCACAGGAGAGGAAATGAGGTCCAGAGAAATTGGGTTGTAGTTCAAGTTCTTGAGCAACTCAGTTCTTCACTTATTTAGTGCCATGTACGGCCATGGCAGGCTGGGGAGGCCTGCGGGTGCCCTCTCAGGACAACTTTAAGAGCATAAAGGAAAGTACAGGAAACTGGACCCATTCTCTAAACTGTATACAAAAGCTACCACAAAATGCATCATAGATCACATGTAAGAACTAGACTTTGCACTTCTTAGAAGACAACATGGGTAAATCTTATGATCGCTTCATGTACCTTCTTAAGGACAACTTTATTAAAGTATAAGCCATATACCATAAAACTCATCCATTTGAAATGTACTATATACAATTCAGTCATTTTTAGAGTGTTTACAGGGTGGTGCAGCCAAACACTGGGATTTAATTTTAGAAATTGATTTGTTGTTGTTTTTCTTTTAAGAAGAATCTATTGGCTCCTGTACGGAGAAAGTTAAGCAAAGACAATGAGATCTGGATTTTTCTGACTGTCTGTTCCTCTCCTTTCCTGTTGTGGTTTTTTGTTTTACTTTGTTTTATTTTACTCTATGGGACTAGGAATGGAACCCAGAGCCTCAGCCACACTAGGCAAGTGGTCTGCCACTGACCTGTATTCCCAGACCTTTCAAATTTTTGTTCTGAGACAGGGTCTTGCTAATTTGTTCAGGCTGGCTTCCAGCATGTGATCCCCTTGCCTCAGCCCTCTAGATAGTTGGGATTGCAGGCACGTACCACTGCACCCAGCTTGTTTTATTTTTTAAAACAGCTTTATTGAGATTAATTCAGATGCAGTACAGATTTACCTTGAATAGTTTTTAATATATTCGCAGAGTTGTACAACCATCACCTAGACAATAACTTCTTAGATATGACATCAAAAGTTCAAACAATAAGAAAAAATAAATTATACTACCTCAAAATGAAAAACTTTTTTTTTGAGACAGCATCTCAGCATGTGGTTCAAGTTGGTCTTCAACTTACTGTGTAGCCCAGGCTGGCTTGCGACTCAGGGTAATCCTCTTGCCTCAGCCACTTGAGTTCTGGGATTACACGTATACACCACCACATCTGAATACAAAAGTAAAATTTGATGTTGCAAATAATAATCCCAAAGTAAAAAGGGAGCCCACAGAATGGAAGGAGATATTTACAAATTAAACACCTGATAAGGCATTTGTATCCTGAATATACAAAGAATTCTTATAACTCAAAAACACAAAGGCAGACAACCCAGTTAAAGAATGTGCAAAGGTTGAATGTGGTGGCATCCACTTGTAATCCCAGATGCTCTGGAGGCTGAGATAGGAGGACCACAAATTCAAGGTCAGCATGGGCCATATAGCAAGATCCTGTCTCAAAATTTAAAAAAAACAAAAACAGGAAGAGCTGGATATGTAGCTGGATGGCATAGAACCCCTGGATTTGGTCCCCCATATCACAAAGAGGAAGTCAAATATTTGAATATCTTCTCCAAAGATAATATACAAATGAGCAGTAAGCATACAAAAAAATGTTAAACATCATTAGTCACTGAAGAAATTCAAACCACATGCTATCATCAAAATGACACACAGTAACAAGAGCTGGAGAAAACATTGGAACTTTAGAACCTTTAAAACACTGCTGAGATAATGTGAAATGGTATAACCAGTTTGGAAAACAGTTGGTATAACCAGTTTATACCAACAGTTATACCAGCTGGTGGTTCCTTGGAGGTTTAAACATGGAATTACCATGTAACCCAGTGGTTTTACTCCTAAAGATAAACCCATGAAAAATTAAAACATACTTCCACACAAAAACTTGTATGCAAATGTTCATAACATTATTCAGAATAACTAAGAAGTAGAAATAATTTAAATAAAAACACGGCGTATCCATATATAATGGAATATTGCTTGGCAATAAATACAGCTAAAATTCTGGAGGGTAGATGGGAGGAAAGTGAACAAGTACAGTTAATGTTTACCTATTTATTTATTTAGGTACCAGGGATTGAACTCACGACCTCACACTTGCCAGCCAGGCACTTGTGCCACGAGCTAAATCCCCAGCCCATGTAGCTCTCTTTTTGTGGTGATGAAAAATGTTCTAAACCTAGATTATAGTGGTGGTTGCATAATTCTGTGAATATCTTAAGATCATTGAACTGTACATTTTAAGTGGATGAATTTTATAGTCTCGCCATAAAGATGTTTTAAAATTACCAAGGAGTCCAAAGGAAACAAACTATTGAAATTTATCAGAATATTAAAATTTTGTGTAATAATATGTGCTTACTCACACATTGAATTATGAGTGGGTCTACTACCATAATTTTGAAATAGTAAGTTAAAGCATATACTTGAGATACCAGCAAAAAGTGCAAAAGCATTAAGAAAATATCTGTGATTGCAAGTCTTGAAAGTCAGTAGGGCTGCTGATGCTCTGTGGACTTTTGCCTGCATTAATTACTGACATGCTCTGTGCCAATCTAAGCCTTCAGATGAGAGGAGGTGAGAGGGCAGAGATGGGGAGACCGTGAAGGAAATGCTAAGTTTCAACTAGAAGTCAGTAAAACTAATGATGTAACTTTATTTTCCTTCCAAGTTTGTGAACACCCTGAACTTTTGCTGTAGACTCAGAATAAAGACAGTTGAGGGTCCATCAACCCCAGGTTAAAAACCTCTGGGAAAGCTGGGCATGGTGGCTCACGCCTGTAATCCCAGCACTTGGGAAGCTGAGGCATGAGAATCGTTTGCAAGTTCAAGACCAGCCTGGGCTGCAAAGTGAGCCCAAGACTAGTCTAACCTGCATAGTGAGACTCTATCTCAAAAGGACAAAAAAACCCAAAAACTAAAACAACTCTGTGGAGGGATATATATGAGAGAGGGAAAGAGAGAAGAAAGGGAGAGAGACAGAGAGACAGACAGAGACAGGACAAAGAGAAAAGAGATTTGTCTTAACGTAGTTCACTACCCTTTCTAACTCTTTTTTTTTCTTTCAGTGAAAGAGATTTAGGTGAAAAAGAGTATTATTTAAATTCTGCAGACTGAGGGTTTTTGAGCTGCTGCCCCCCTGTCGTCCCGCTGTCCCCACACCACCCATACAGCCTGCGGCCAGCGTGACCACCCAACCACGCTGCTTTTCCCTTTTAACAGAAAGTCCTCGTCTAGACAAATAATTGTTGTTTAGAGCTGTAGCAGAAGTATGGATTTTGAAGTGTCCCCAGTGGGAATAGTTTCTAGAGTTTGCCTTTCTTTGCCTGGCAAGGCAGAAAAGCTGCCAGCACTTGTGTGAGTTCCCCGGAGATAGGGTGGATGATCAAACTCAAACCACTGCTTTTGGATTTTAAAGAAAGACAGAAACTCTCTGATTTCCAGGGGAGCTTACCAGAACATAGCAGATGATAAAGATTCAAACAGGCGCTAATACATGTGTAGTCATTGAGGAGTGAAGTGGAGATGAAGAGAGGCAATTAAATAATTCGCTTTCATCATGATCAAGGACCATGAATGGGGCTGGGAGTTCAGTGGTAGAACATTTGCCTAGCATACACAAGGCCCTGGGGACAATAAACACTGGATGATTACAATATGAACACACAGAGTCAAGTCATTAAAAAATAAAAATGAAATGTGCGATATCTCCGTCACTGTGTGAAAGCAGGGACAAGGTGTTCTATGGGTCCTCCTCTGAAATTTGTCTGCTTTCCTGTCACCTCTACATGTAACCCGGAACTGCTCACTAAAGCAGTGGAACCTGGACTGTGATTTAGAATGGGGCATTGAGACATGCTCCCTTCAGGGGTAGGAGAGATGGTACACTCTGGGGACCCCAGCTCCTTGAGAGGCTGAGGCAAGAGGATTGCAAATTTGAGCCCAGCCTGGACAGGAGGATCACAAGTTTGAACCCAGCCTGAACAAGTTAGTGATTCGATGAGAGATTGTCTTTTTAAAAAAAAAAGACTGGGGATTGTAGTTCAGTGTAAAGCCCTGAGTTCAGTTCTCGGTACTGGGGGAAAGCATCTCTGGGAAATACACATTGTGTACCAAACCAGTAGAATCAAAGGGTAGACTATTTTAAATATCCTGAACATCACTATACATATACCAAGTGGAACACAGAGATAATTTTGATAGCAACATCAATAACAGCTAATGTTACTGTTATTACTTATGCATTGTTGTTACTATTACTAGCATTTTATATATGTTTGTTTAGTCTTTATAACACATCCACTAGGGAACTATTATTGTGCCATTATGCTGAAGAAGAAATTAAAAGTACAGAAAAATTAAGTGTTTTACCCAAGATCATAGAAGTAGTAAGTGGTAGAGGTGGGATTTGACTTCAGCCTTGGTCACTCTTCCACGGGCTTCTTGGAAAGTGTTTGTGTGTGTGTATATGTGTACCTGTATGATATATACACACTTGTACATGTAGATGTGTGAATGTGTACACATATAGATAAGTGCACATATATACACATGTGTGTATACAGACATGGTAATATACAGAGCCCACATGTACTAGCACACAAAAGTCAAGTACGCACAAACTCCACATTCAGTGATACAATACTGATAGCTTGACTTGGCCATGGAGGGAAAATGGCAAAAGCAGTAATCATGACTTAATTATTTTGAGGGACTGACTTCCAGCACCCCACTGGGTACATATATCACATAGACATGAATATAATATTTTAAAAACTAAATATTAAAATAATTCACAATATAAACCAAAATAATCTACGAATATAAAATTTAGACATTTTAAGTGCAATTACCTTTCTTCTTTTTTTCTTTTAGACAGGGCTTCACCATGTAGTTCAGGCTGGCCTTGAACTCACAGTGATCCTCCTGCTTCAGCCTCCTGAGTGCTGAGATTACCAGTATGCATCACCACTCCTGGCAGTGTATTACCTTTCCTTGACCATAACTCTGTTTTGACATGCTTTCTCGCATACACAGTCCATCTAGGATGAAAGACCAAATAAAAGAGATTACTCGATACTTGTTATAAAATATTAATCTAGTTCTTAGTTTGGGGGCTGGGGGTTTAGCTCAGTGGTGTACATGCCTGCCTAGCAAGCATGAGGTCACGAGTTCAATCCCCAGTACCAGAAAAAACAAATAAATAAGTAAATCTTAGTTTGAATAAAAGAGTACGACTGTCTAAACACTTCATGGTGGTCCTGATGAGTCCTAAATCTGCTGTGTTGCTGTATGAGAAATATGAATTAAAAAGCCCTGTTTGCATTGTTATTTGTTTTGCTTTTCATTTAGGTCATGACACAGTCGGTGAAGAAGATACATTACAATGTCTATTTGCTGAATTTGATAAAATGTGCCTGTGGGTTTTTGTGAACTTTAATATGCAACTTATTGCCTAAGAGCCACAGAACTCTTTTTGTTTAACTTAATAAAATCCTCTGGATGCAGGTTAACTTCCTTTGCTCAGTACTTATTATTGTCTCATCTGCGATGAAATGGGAACTGTAAGCATTTTGGTAAATGGGTTGAAAGACTTTTAAGTATCACTCTAGACTCTTGGAGTGTTCGGTAAAGTTCAGTAAACGTATGTTCAGTAAACTCATTTTATTTCTTGTAATGCAATCCAAGTCTAAGAGACTTACTTTACTTGTTTGTTTATTTATTTTGCTTTTTTGAGACAAGGTCTCACTATGTATCCCGTGCTGGCCTCAAACTCATGGAAATCCTCCTGCCTCAGCTTCCTAAGTGCTGGGATTGCAGGCATACATTATCCTGCCTGGCTGTAAGGAGACTTTGGCCACCTCACATTTCACAGCAACGGTAGACATCTGACCTTGCGCCTGGTGAGTCCTTTTGGACAAATGAGCATCATAGAGGGTGCCCTAACTCTAACTAAGGCCCTGTGAAAGTGGATGTACCTTGTCCTGATGCTCTAATTGCAAGAGGCTGGAGTCAGGGGATAATAATACGTGGGACTGGATCTTTTTTATCTTTAACGAAACGAAACACATCAGCTCTTCTCAGACTCATCTCTACCACCTGGGTTTCCATATTTAGCAAAATGCGGTTTGGAGGAAACAGATTGTGAGTGCAGTCATTATTTGTGATTACAACAGAGGCAGTGGGGACCATGTGACCGTCCTCTCTCTTAGGGGCTATGACTGTATCTGTTCAACTCAGAGGACACAGTGAGCACGACTTGTTCATTATTATTACATAAATGAAAAGGGCCATAGTCAAGGCAAGTAAAGCTCAAAGTAAATCTACTGTATATTTCATTAGTAGCGAAGGAATCAAATAAAAATAAAATGGCACACCTTCATAGAAGTATTAGGCTAAGTTTCACCCTCAAACTGGTGGAAATGAGCTTTAAGAACAAACTCATCTTCCTAACTCTGCCTTAATCCTAAAACTGTAGTGAAATTACTTCAGAAGCCCTAGCATGCCACAGCAAATCCATTTATCTTTATATATAAATCTACTACAAAATCACTCAGGAGGCCAGTTGTGATTTTTTTTGGCTTTATTGGACACAATGAACTGAATGGGAAGACTTCATTAGTACTGATGGGAACCCTAGTTGAGCCATTTTAGAAAAAGTAGAAGTGGGGAGTGATGGTACACAGCTGTACTCGCAGAACTCTGGGAGACTAAGGGGGAGGACTGCAAACTTGAGCTCAGCCTGGGCTACTAGTGACCCTGTCTCAAAATAAAATGAAAAGGGCCCAGGGATGCAATTCAGCACAAAGGCACTGGGTTCAATCCCTAGTACAGAGGTAGGGGTGTGTGTGTGAGAAAAAACTAGAGAATAAAAACATGATGAAAAGAGATGTAAAGCAAGGAAAAAGATAACTAGAGAATGCAAAGTAAACAGTTTGAGATGGAGACTCAATCTGAGTTTTAGTCTTGCTACCGAGGTGCTACCAAGATGTAGCTAAAATTTAAATTCATTAAATTTTAGTGGGAAAAAAGCTTTGCAATCTATTATTTTGTTTGTTTCCTTTTTTCTTTTTAAAATTGTTTTTTAGTACTGATTGAACCCAAAGCCTTTGCATTGAGGTAAATTGTTACCTCTTTATTATTTTTTTTATTTTGAGGCAGAGTGGGGTCTCAAATTGCAATCCTCATGCCTCAGCCTCCCAAAGTGCTAGGATTCTAGTTATATGCCACCATGCCCAGCTTAATTATACTTTCTTATTCTCCGACAAGCATTACACACAGGTGGCTGGGGATTTAGCTCAGCGCCTGCCTTGGAAGCAGGCAATCGTGAGTTCGATCCCCAGTACAGATCCCCTGCCCTTTCACTTTCTATGACAACCTTATAGACACCTTTTGCTATACTCTTTCACCTCCGGAACCATGAACTAAAATAAATCGCTATCTTTATAAATTACCCTCAGGTGTTCTGTTATAGCAATGGGAATAAAGACAAGGAACAAAACATAAGACTGAAGCCAAAGTCAGAGAAATGGTGCCTACAGTCAAATACAAAAGATGAGCAAAAATCAAGAAACCTTCTGCAAGGGGAGGGGTAGGCGTATTAAAAAGTACATCTTTGCCTACCTTCTCCACACATTCCTCACTTGAAAAACTCTACTTCTTGATAATGTGCTTAAGAGGAGCAGTAATCCCTTCTGCCCGTTGCAAGCTATGCCCTGAGGGAGAGGCAAGCCTGAAAGTGGCAGAATGAATTGCAAGATCAGAAATCTGGAGTTTGGCAAAGGTTGGGAAGTGTGTCCTGGCTTCCCTAGGGACGAGGGTCAACAACAATGTGACGATGGGCAAGTCCAGTTCTATGTGGATTTCGATTTAGAAATACAAAGAAGGGCCTGATGTCTTAAAGGAGCCACTGGGAGGGGGCTGGGTTGTGGTTGGCAGCCTCCCTGTCCACTTGGCCTTTGAAGACTGGCTGGTCTATAGAAATCTCCTGGTTAGGCGCATTCCACTTTACTACACTAAATATAGTGGGTCTTTACAAAACTTGGAGCCCTTCCTACACAAAGAGAATGCTGTTAATGAACTCTTCATCCAAGGGCATGAGCTCTGGGTTGTTGTTCCAGTGGGATGTGCCACAGACTCAGCCAGACCAGCAATCTACTGCCAACACTGGCCCTGAGGGAAGTTTTGAGAGGGGATGGTTGTGTCCCTAACATCACATTTAATAACATTAAATAAGCCTAGGTATAGCCTAGCTTCATGGAAGAGATGACTCAGAGTTGATGAGCAAGAGACTTAGGAAAGAAGGAAGGGAGAAGGATGGAAGAAAAGGAGGAAATGAAAGAAGTTAGAGCTTAGTCACTCAGAAATCTGAAAGTTTAAGAAGCCTAAAGTACAGGGATTTACTACAAAAAATATTGAAATCCAATGGTAGAGGAAGATGAAGATGCGGTTAGGTTTGGGAGTAGCTTTCTGATCTTGAGAGAATGGGGCAAGAGAGAAACAAGATGGTAACTGTTGGCCAGAGGAATTTAAGTTCCTTTCCTCTTGGCAACGTTGGAGAGATTCCCACAGCTCTCAGCATCTGGAATTTATTTGACTGTGGGTGGAGGGAGACAAGTGGCAGCTAGTGGGACCAGTGGCTTTCTGGAAAGATAGGATAAAAAAGTTCAAGATTTGACACAACCAGAGAGCTGAAAGGGAAAGAAAATGATCATCTGAAGTAAAACTGAAAGACTTGTTGGCTTCTTCTGGCATTCAGCATACGGCATGCAGTCCCAGGAAAACAAGGTCTCCCAAAAGGAGAAGAAATATTGTTACTGTTGCTGGTGAGGTTAGTGAGACTTCCGGACATGGATCACCCCAGGGATTCTTCATATTTGAATATACTTACACACTTAAAGCTTTATGTGTTAGTTAGCCTTTTCTATTAAAAAACCAAAAGTGAATATACCCCATCACATACTGAGTTTCCCAGAAATAGACTCTGACATGGATATTTGCATGCAGAGTTCACTGGCAAGTGCCCAAGAATTCAATACAAGAGGAGGAGTTGGAGGAAGTAGGCCTGGGAAAGAACTAAACAGTAAACGAATCACAAACAAAGGTCTCAACCAACTAATTGTACAGGGATCTCTGTAGTCAAGCTGCTTTGAAGCAAAGAAGGCTGGGCCTTCATACCTAGAGGAGAGCCTAGTCATTAAGGGTCAGCTGCCTAAGAACCTGGGCGAGGTGAAGACGGCTGAAGACCATATGAGATGAGAGACCATCTGAGAGCAATTAGCTGCCAGTATTCCTAGCAGTTGAGGGAAAGGTTGCTTCCGCGCAAAATGGGGATCCGAGTGGCATTCCATAGCATCAGTTACAGCCAACCCTTTGCACTAGATCTATTTAATAGATTCTGGAAGCAGCTCCTCCAATCTCCTGACTGAACTCTTTTCCTGGGGTAACTTACGAGGAAGGTTTGTAGACAAACCACAAGCCCTGTCTTGCTCTTGATCTGAAGGTTGCAACTGATACTTATTGTATCTGTGCTTTATAATACATTTTAATTCATCTTCAACTCCACTTGGACAGTGGTTTCAGCTTATCATGTCTTCCTGAGGCTACGGCTGCTCTCGTCTCTATTTGACAAAGAAATACCATATCAAGAGATGCCCAGTCCATCACCAGAACCACTAAGCCCACAATGCCCAGAGTTGCAGAAGCACAGATAGCATGAATGGGTCACTGTGAGTGGTGGCAAAGCAGGGCCAGGAGCCACTGTACTTCCTTCCCTTGGACCCCAGAGTACGTACTAGATCTATTGTAAAAACAGGCACAAGAAATAATTTTAGGTTTACAGTATAGGCTGCATGCTGGGAGATGTACCTGTATTTTTACAAGATATCTCAGTTACACCTTCAAAAAGTCATTTCATTACTGTCAAGCTGACAGCTCTGTGTGGTAGGAAATAGGATCAGTGGATCCCATGGCCATGTGACACTCCTGACTTATTTGTGAATTAGGATCCAGGGTCCAATAAAAACATGTAAATCTGTGCCATTGGATCAGATGCTCTGTGTGCGCTCAGGTATGGTGTTGTCCAAAGCCCCAGGAGGGCAGGAAAGCCAAGTCCATCCCCAGAATGTGTATTTATTGCATTCAGAATGAGTCACTTAATTCTTCCAGTTCAATCAACTTGCCATGGAATGGGTGGCTGGTCTCCTGGAAGAATAGTACCTTACTGGAAGCTCAGAGTTGATGTCTTTTGGTGACAGATTGGGCACAGGGAGGAGTAAATAAGTAATACAGTCACTGTAGTGATGTAGTAACTCCAAGTAAAACAGACTCCCTTGTGAGCTCCGTTGCTGGGATGACTCTTCAGAGGTGCCTTTCTATGAGGCAAAGGAATCTGACTTGACACTGTCTCCTGACACAGGCCATGGCTTGAACTTGCAGTTCCCCCGTCTCAGCTTCCCAGTATGCTAGGGTCACAGGCATGAGCCAGCACGCTAAGCTTCCAAGTCCTTTTAGAAGACT